TTTTTTTAAAAAATGCGGGTGCATCAAGCCACGCTTTTCAGTCACGTTTTCTGCGACGTTTTCAAACTTAACACCTTGCAAAATTGAAAATGTTCTACAGTCCCACAAAGATCAGATCTTACCGAACGGGTTGATCAAAGAAATGAAAGCACATGAACAAAAGGAACATTTTTTGTATGTTTATTGAATCTAAAATATTCCGTGTCGGTCGGGCTGATCGCGTTGGCGACGTGTTGAAAGTACAAAATTTAATTATGCGTACTTTCGATTCGGATATAAATAGAAATAAAATTTACAAAGGAAAATCAACCTACCTTGTTCTGTGCCTTCTTTGGGCCTTTTATTCCACGCGTTGAAGAGTGTCTGTTGTTTTGCCAGTCGCTTCATTTCGGTTCTCATTTGTTGCAATTACGTTTCTGTTCTCATGAAAAAATTTTTCCGTGCTGCTGTCACGGGTCGGTGCACACGTGAAAAATGCCGCGATTACAAGCGGCAAGACGTTGTATCAAACTTCACCTATTTTCAATTTTCATGCCAAAACTTTGATTTTAATTACAGTTTTATTTCAACTTGGAAACGGTAATGCATTTGTTTTTATCACCGCGCTTGAAGTGAAAAGTTTACACAGTGAATTTTTCCATCTTCCAAAATAAATATTTTTTTATTTGGATCTGAGTAGCCGGCGCGCCAAGGACGACTAGACGGCGATTTTCGCCGGTCGCCGGGGCTTACGGAGATCTCTGGAAGGGCCTTTGAAAAATATAAGCCCCGGGGCTTATTTTCGGAATTTTACGGTATTTGCTAATTCGAGGAGCTGGAGGGAGTCTTAGAGCTCGTGCGTTCATTCCATCCTACGTTTCCCAAGAAAATAGGCCCCGTTGGGGAAAAGTCTTTACACTTAGCAACGGAACACGTTCAGACTTCATGTTACTGCACAGATATTCGATTGGTATATTTATCAGACTCTCGTTATTTATTAAGTAAAACTTATTTCTGGTGAACTATACAGCTAACTCTTGAAAGTTATTTATAGCGCTTATGTCATGATAATAAGGATTTTTTTTTTTACAATAATTGATGTCAGTTGGGGTTTGACATTGTTTCCTTGTCTTCTCACCAACATTTTGTAGGAAAACCCGTGGGAAATAAGCGTTTTCACGACTATTTTATTCATTTGTAAGCAACGTTTGCGTTCTTATTTTGCTAAAAAAAAGGTAACTAACTAATTAGTTAATTGAAGGCACTAAGTCAGATTTTTGAAACTTGCTACGTTAGATGTAATCCATCCCATAGCATACTGCGTGCCTGTTTTATTGAATTTAACCATGTTATAAAGGAGCAGGGGACTGGGTACGAATACCTAAAATCGATTGAATCGATAAGAGCAATGTAGAGATTAGAACATTTACTATTGACTACATTTTTAAAGCCCACGATTTTTAGAAACTTTTGAAAGTCAAGCTTTGACGCCCCCTTTTTTTCTAATCTCGCTCAAATTTTGCAAGCTGTATTAGCAATATATGTCAAAAAAATTATCAATAAAGGCGGAATAGCACAGTTGTTGAAGCGTTTGGTTGCCAAAGCTTTTTTCTCTCTCCCCTGCTTTTCAGTTCACCAACTTCAATTTCAATTCCTTTCCCTGCTGTCTCTCTCGCTATTTTCTGTTATTGCCTCGAAATTGCATCCAAGAAGTAAGTATAGAAACCTAAGAGCAAGTGACACACTCACCAACCCACAGCTTTAACAGTACCTTACACATGGGCTCAGCCCTTGTACAAGTGAAAGCGGTCTTCTAGCCTGCGAGCAAGCTCCCTATTTGGGGGATACCGTGAAAAGTCACGCGGTACGCGCGAGCGAGGGAAACGAAACTACCGTCGAGTCCCGCCTTTTATTATGGACACCCTCTCAATACGGGCACCTTGTTATTACGAACAGTTTTCTTTGCCCCTGGGGAAAGTCCACACATTTTCTCTAAATTCAACCCGCTTAATACGGACACACGTTACTGCCTAGACTACGAGTGGTCCCCCATTTTTCCTCAGCGAAACGCGAGCGCGCGTGAAAATCACCCCACGCGAGAAAGGCGAAACGCTGTGGGGGGAGCTCATTTTTCTCCCTCCCCACCGCGTCTCGCCTTTCTCGCATGGGATGATTTACACGCGCGCTCGCGTTTTGCTCGCTCTACTATCCCTGAGGAAAAATGGCTGACTACTCGTAGTCAGCTCCTGTCGTAGTCTAGTTACTGCGGACAACGGACACTTTTTTCTTGCTTGATAGCATGTTTTAAAGTTCTAAATAAATGAATAAATAAATAAATTTTTAATGAATAATAAAACAATTATTGGTTTCGGCTTTCGTATGCTATACGAAAAGTCGAAATTAGACCAAGGGCAAATCGACGGCCAAGGCCCTTTAACGTCCTCAGTCGGTGTAATTGTGCGTATCATACGAAAGCCAAATCCATTAACTTTTGGCGCTTTTAGTTAAGACGTTTTCAATAAGCTAATGTTCATGACCTGTTAAAATAGGAACAAATGAGTAAAAAAAGGTAGGGCCAAGCACTTTAAAGCTTGTTGCAGCTTTGAGTCACGAATGATAAATATGAATACGAGATAAACGTCGTTTCTTCAGTTATAATTATATGATTATTGAAATTTTACACAGCTGATACGATGTTAAAGCTGGTTTCTTCTCTGGCTTCGGGTAACATCAAGTTGCCCAGAGACGCTAAGGAACACAAAATGTTTGCTTTCCTCTCCACTTGGCTGATCAGGCCTCATCACTCCACCTTTACATTCTACACTTAGGATCAACCGGCGACTTGATCTTTGCTTTCCCTCAATTTGTACGTATAGCTTGATCGTGTGCAGCAACGACAAGAGCTTTTATTTCTATCTTACGTCCTAAACTAAATCCACGTTTCAGTCGCTTTGGCTTATACCAAGAGCCATTATGCAGGCTAACTCATAGTGATGTCTATATCTCAGCTCACTCTGTGGTTTTTTAATGTTCTTATATTACTCTATTTCGCTTTCCCACTTATTGAAAAAAAAAACGAATTTTTGAAGGCTAAATTATTGCAAATTTTCCAAGTCTGATCTTGTTTTACCCATGGGTTTCAACTAATACATTCAAATTGGTATGAACTATTAAACGACAGATTTTAAATTACCTTCGCGTCTTAACGACACTGCGTCATGGAAGTATCATTAAAGTGCCCATATCAGTCTACCTTACGCTAGTAGTAAAGTTTACAACAACTTCCATTCCTGGAATGTCTATTAAAAAGTACCAAAACGTGTTGAAATTGCGAAAAATCGAAATCTTCACACAGATATACAAAGTTTTTCTTGTGCTGTCTGGCTGTTTTATCTCCAAGAAAAAAGCAGCTCTGTCAGTTTTGTCTAAGGTCTTTTAACATGGTAATACGCTCCTGAGAGCATGTCGAACATGTCTTAACTTCCAGGAGTAGATCAGTGGGTTGAGAGAGGAATTAAGGAGCACCATTGTGTTAGCATAAAGTCTAAGCTGCTTTAATGCTGCATTTGGCCCATTAATTTGAGATGTAACCCAATGACACGTGATTGGTAAATAACAAACGACGAACACAAGATACAAGTAAAATGTACCAACTGCCGCTTTTCTATCCCTAGCAGCATTCGCTATAACATCCCCATTCTGTTCCAGTTGAGCTTGGAGGACATGAATTTGATTCGTGTGGTGTCGTAAAGCTAAATAAATCTTGATATACACCAAGACTGTAGTTATGTAACAAAGAAACTCAATAACTACTGTAATAGTGGAGGTAACGTTTCGTGGAGACCACTTCACTAGGAACGTCAGAATTAAGCTGAAAATCACAATCGAAGTGACCAAAGCAACAATACGCTTATGAGTTACAAGTTCCTGGTATCGGAGATGAAGATGAATTGCCAAAAATCTGTCTATGGCTAGAGCCATAACACTAAAAAAAGAAGTATAGAAGAGGAAATTCCCCATGAGATAAAAACTTTTCAACGTAATCTCAAACATTCGAGTTTGATCTTTTTCTTCTATCATCATGAAAAGCCTTGCAGTATTCAAAGGTTGGACAAACAAACCAACACCAAGATCAGAAACAGAAAGAGTCAGGAGCAAAGTCCTGAAATTCTTTGGTAACGTCGAGGAGGCTTTATTCAGCGCGATTATTGTGACAATGTTCAACACGATGGCGGTGAAACACAAGAGGGAGTTAAAGACGCAGTTAATAACGAACGTCGAATAGAAATTGTCAGCTGAATTCATTGAATATAACTTGTTTGAATCTTAGGTAAAAGAAACTTGCAAGCTGAAGTATTTCTATCAAGTTTGTCTTGAGTTCACAATGCAAGGTTTTATTTATGGTACTGTATCCGAGGCTGCAGCAGTAGAGAGGCTGGTTCTCCAAATTTGAAAAACCTTAATCTAAACCAAACTCAGGCTCCTGAACGACATGTCTAACTGTTAAATTGATGAAATATGATGTTCTTCTTTCCAAGTATATACTGTAGTTGCTGAATTTGTTGAATATTTCGGCTTAACCATTGCTATTTGTCCGCTTTGCTGCCCTCATTGAATATGAAACCTCTACAATCCTTTTGCTAAAGGGTATTTAACACCATGTGTGAACTTTCGTAAGCGAAAATAAATTGGCTAGAACGTTCGTAGTCTTTTTGCGCCCGATTTTTGCAGATGTTTAGCGTCGTAGGTCAGGAATATTAGCTTATCTAAATGTCAAAAACTTAACCTTAAAATATGTAGGGAGTAAAATTTGAACCGTGACAAATTTTGAAACCTTATACTCAAGCCATATGGTGAAAAAAATGTGCACTTAGGAGTAAAAGCACCAATTTGGTTTTGTAATGGTACTTAGGTTGCTCAAAAACATTAGCTACGGATCCCAGTCAGGGGAGAAAATTTTGTACTATGGGAGGGGGGGTTGGTGTGATTGCAGTTTCCAAATAACCCGCTGTTATCGAAAGGAAGGCTGTAAAGATGAGTAGGACTCCTGCAATATCAATATGGCATGATGTCCTGAGGAAGTCAGTTTAACTAAGTCTAACTACTTTAACTTTCTAAATGGCGCGGGGAGGAGGGTTGAACACAGCTTAGGGGCAGGGGAGGGGGGGGGATGGAAGCGCAGTACCTTAGCTTATGGAGTCGTCATAAGATTTGTTTAAGTTTAAGTTTAAGTTCAATAATTCTTTTTACCAATGTACAAAATAAAATTATATATACATATATAAAAGAACAATAGGCAAAGGAAAGCAATAGGGGGAAACTGAATTCCCATATAAAAAACTGCCTCCAAAACGAAAAGATAAAACAATTAAGAATAGAAAACTAATACATAACTATACATCACGTGATACCAAGAGAAAAAAAAAACAACAACTAAATAAACTACTTAGATATTAAATAAAAAGGAAAATCCACATTCAGTAGGAAATAATAAATATATGACTATTTACAAAGATAATTAAGTAATAAAGTTTTAAAAGAGTTCAAGCTGGAAGCAGACATAACGAAGGTTGGTAAAGAGTTCCAGTCATTAACGTAACGATTAAAAAATGAAAATTTAAAATAGTTTGTCCTTGCTGCCCTAGGCCTGATTTTAAAGTCATGGTTTCTTCTAGTTCTTGTCGGGCTAATCAGATCCACATATGTCACTATAATCAATATCAGAATAGCCATGAATTATGTTGTAAAGTTGAACCAGGCAAGCGGTATTTTCTTCTGAGCTCCAATGTAGCCTGCGTAGCTGGCGGTATTGTGTAGTAGTCGAGTGAGATTTAGCGGCGGAGCCGTTGTAATAAAGTCGAGTGAGATTTGACGGCGAAGCTGCGAGAAATACCGCCTGCCAGAGAACCATGATTTTTTCGAATGTCGCCCACTTTTGTCACCTTAGCTGATCCCAATTAAATCAGCCAATCAAAGAGAAACTTGCAATTTGAAACTTCCGATTATTTTCGAGCGAGACAGTTTAGAAATAAGCGTTGACAGGCTAAACACGACTCCTAAGCTCGTGATAATGTGAAACGTGACCTTGTGAGTTTGCTTAAACAGAGGTTTTGTTTATTTTCTCGGCTCTCGCGAAGGTTGCTAGCACTACACAGTGCATGTATCATTCTAAACTTTGACTGAGTAAATCTTTTTTTGCCACAATAGGCTTAACATTGAAAGGTCATGAAGCGGGTTTGTTACATGCATACTGAGTAACCATTTCCTGTGGTTTATTCTTAGGATTTGATCTCAGATGCAATTGTAAAGTGTTTTAATTTTCTTTGACCTTTGTTTCTTACGGCTAAATAAAGACAATTCCAGCGCTGTGAAGTTTAAAGATGCCATAAAATTTCGGCAATTTGGTCATCAATTATGCTCTTTTTAAAGGGGAAACCACAATCACTTACGTCTTTTTCCAGTTTGCCATCTGCTCCCTTAATTGGGAAATATATGCGAAGGATCATCTAACATGATTGACATATGTATGGCCCTCGACCAATCCGTTTCTCGGCACACTGGTGTGCGGACTTTTCAAAATACCGGGATTTTCTGGCAGGCGGTATTTCAACCGCCTCGTACCTACTCCCTTTTTTTGGAACACGGCTCCGCCGCCAACACGCTAATCTCGCACCCACACAATACCGCCAGCTAAGCAGGCTAGCTCCAATGTTGACCAGTTTAGTTCAGTGAGCCTTTCAGTGTAAGAATTATGAGATCCACATATCAATCGAGTAGTACGACGCTGAATGGATTCAATACTGTGTATGTGTTTAAACAATTATGGATTCCACACTGGGCAGGCATATTCTGGACAGAATAGGACGAACTAAAGCGATAAAAGCTGTTTTGATTGACACAGGATCTTTAGACCCAAACGTTCTCTTTATTAGACCAAATACTCGATTTGCCTTACCAATAATGTAATTGATATGAGCGTCTCACCTTAAAGAAGATTCAATCCAAATGCCCAAGTGCTTATATATATGTTTATCAACAGCCGACAGATTATTTTTCATTTATCACATACTGATGAACTAAAGGACCATTGAACTTGGTAACATGTAGAGCCTTACACTTTTCCCACTTCAGCGTGACCTTCCACAAGTCACACCAGGAGGCGGCAGACAAGAGGTCATCTTGAAACTCGACACAATCATCTACAGATGCGATCTTACGATCTTATCTTACGTGTTTGACGGTTTCATCATCATCATCATCATTTGATTTTTGCCGGACTCTTGCAGCTCTCTTGTAAAGCTTAAAAGACCTTTATATCTACAGTGCTGCGTTGGGGTAACTTCTTTCTACCATCATCATCTTTTCATCACTGTCACTCGCTTTTACTTTTAGTGCTCGCTTTTCAGTGCTCAAGCTGATTTCTACACTAAATTTGTGCCATTAGGTTGCTTTTCACGGAATAACTTTCTAGTTGAACCTTTTTTTTTTTTGTCAGCCTTTAGTCAGTTGTGGTGTTTCAAAAGACCTACACGACTATGTTCCGGAGACCTCTGCAATCGTTTTGGCACAAACCCACTAATGTGTCGGTCGATTTCTGACACAAATTTTTTTGTTAAAGGCTTTTCCCTTCATTTCTTTCCTTTTTCCTCAGTAATTTTATCTTTGATATTAAAGATGAAAATATATCTAGATTGGAAGAAGGACCAATACATTATTGAAAATATGAAGTAGCTGATAACCCAGTCCCTGTTGCATAAAAGAATCATTTACTCTGTCTCTGTAACTGTCTCATGTTTTATTTTTGTAAAAGGTTGGCAAGCTAAATTCCTAAAGAGAGCAATTCTGATCTTTCTGAGGGTGAAAAATGGCTAAGCCTCATACAATCGAGCGAGCAAAAACCAGCTATTTCTGTCCGGGCCTCTTTTTCTTCCCTACTTCCGTACGCTCTTACATGTAACTTTTGACTTCCATCAGGAGGTATCTCAAAAACATTAGTGAAGTGGCTTGGAGTCATCATTATCAAAGGGTGCATGTATTTTGTCAGCACTCTCGAAAAAGTAGGTAACAAGTATTCTATAGGGTTCATCATCTTGTGCGCCTTTCAAGAAGATGGGAATACGGCAGTTTTTCACACCGCTTTCCCGCCTTCTTTGTGTGTTTTCCTGACCAAACCAAAACGGCCATGACCATTCCTCAAAAAGGCACCATGTGCCTCCCCTGTGCATATTTGAGTGGATTTCACAGCTAATAAAAAAATTGGTACAACTTATACTATAATCGTACCGAGTTGGATGCTTTTACCCAAAGCTGTACTATTTAGCTGTTTTATTTACGGCCGTGCATATGGCGGGACTATTATAGGCGACAATGCCACCTTTCTTTCTCTCCTATCTGTTAACGTTTGGGAGCCATTAACGTAAAGTTTGGGAGCCATTCAAATTGATTATTCAGTTGCGGCTTCATTGTTCGCGAAAATCCTTCTCGGCTCCGCTGCCCCGCCGCCAAAAATGTCCCCCACGATAAAGAAAATACCCCGCACATAGCAATCCCCCCAGCTACGTAGGCTAACTATTGCCAATAAATATTCATGACTCAAAAACAAGACAGCTGTTGATCGTCTGTTGCTAAATACCGTAAAATTCCGAAAATAAGCCCAGGGACTTATATTTTTCAAAGGCCAATTTTTGAGGGGTTTATTTTTGGAGGGGCTTATATTCGGAGGGGCTTGTTTGTCTACGGAGGGAAACTTGCGTTTCAAAATCGATTGGGCTAGCCTTATAGTTAGAAGTAAATTTACCATTTTTGCTTTGTTTTACTTTGTATTTGAGGGCAATTTTCCAAGTACAATCCCCGGGGGGGCTTATATTTGGAGGGGCAATTTAACGGAGATTTTTTTTCGTTACAGGGTTGGGGGGCTTATATTTTGAGGGGCTTATACATGGAGGGGCTTATTTTCGGAATTTTCCGGTATATTTTAATACCCATCGATGGGTCAGTATGGTCGAGGTAGAGGATGTTTTGGGGGTACGTAATTTTGCTAAACCCACGGATGAATTTGCAAATATGAAAACTCCCACGATATTCATTCTAGTTTTGGCGAATAGTTGAGACCATTTTATGACTGTCTTTTGGATGTTAATGGTGAGAGTTTGCGATGTATTTTTGAAAGTTACAAAAAGCCTTTCGCCCGTGAAGGTACGTGATATTAATTTTGATAAACTTATGACAAGAATTTCAGATCTGCTTTCCTCTTTTAAACATTCAGTCAAAGCAAGACTGGCACGCTTTCTTGTCTTGACGGACAATTTTCCTCTCCTTCCAATACTGGGTGCCCTCATTCGTCATGGATTCTGTTAATCATTACAACATCTCTTTGGGACAAATAAGGCTGAAATGAACATCACAAAACCTTTGTTTCAGCGCGAAAAACTGAAAAATATAATTAAAAAACATGACGTTTTTGTATTTTTCCTATATTAGCATTACAAGCCAGTAATACGTTCGCGGAACTCTTTTATACCTTTGACGATAAAGCAATAAAATTGTCCAAAAAAGGCAGCGCTTCCGCATATTCGTCGAAACGAAGAAAGGTTCATTAGTTACCTGACAGTGTTCGCTGGTGTAGCAGGATATAGAACATAAATGAAGCAAATTGCACCACCGAAATCATATCTGACAATCATTTCTTATAATAGCTTTATTTTTAATTACTCTTACAACTTATCTTAAACGATTTTGTGTGGTTTGTGAATCGCTAGATCTGTTTTAAACAATAAGGCTCGTTATCGAACAGACCAATAAATAAAATGTTCTTTTTTTATAGCCGAGATTTGGCATATATAAAAGCAACTTAACTTAGTTCTTATCAGACTGCTTATCTTAATTTTTGTTTAAAATTAGATGACGTGTTTACTCAGACAGCGATGTAAACACCTTTAAAGAGGCTAGTTGCAATTGATCACCTGTACATCAGAACAACACGTACGAGCCAGAATCAGGAGAGTGACTAAAATTTGCCTTCTTTGCAAGTCAGCCGGGCTCATATACTGTGGAACCCTGAGCTGGTTGTTTCGGCTAGGTTTAATAAGGTAAAGGAATACACTCTTAACTGTTTTAGGGCTTCTAAAATAACGTCAATTTTTAGCGAAGAGTTCTTATTTAAAAATAAACTCGGAACGTTTACTGATTTTTTTTTAAATAAAAGCAAGAAAATATCTGGTCACGTTTCTACACGAACGTGCTCTCCGAGAAAAACTTGCTTCTGCCCGAAGAAAATCGCTCTCTGAAGAAAAATTGTAGACATTTATTAAATTTACACTATATTCGTGTTTTCTTTGGAAGTGTAAATGAGTTGTATTTTATTTTTAATTAGTGATTTTACCTTTCGTAACAATCATTCCACGCCGAAAATTGCTTACTAAAGACGATTCGTTGGATCTGTTTTATCTACAAACGTCAAGCTAAATAAATATAAGTTTTAATTATGTTTTAATATTAATATTACAAGTCGTTAACAAGACTAATTTTTAACAAGGAATTAACAAGCACTACACTTTTTCGCAGGGTGGCATCAAGTTCTATTGAGTTTGAAGTCCAAGGTTCGTGTGTTTACTGCCAACCATTATAATATGAATCTCTGTGCGCATTACACCAGGTCTTCATTAATCATTCTTTATGATTATCCAACGTTCAGTTTAATTTACTGCCTTGCGTGTGGTATATTCTCTTTAACAGCGATAATTGGAAATTCCATTGTGTTTTATGCGTTTTGGATTTCGGGCTCCCTGAATCGGGCATCAAAAATGCTCCTTCTTAGTCTCGCAGCGTCTGATCTTGGTATAGGCTTGATGGTTTTGCCACTGAACGCCGTTTTGATGTCACAGATGTATGGACTCGTGCGTAGTAATAAAATTGCCAAAGATCAAAACGTGATGGCAACATGTCCTCTCCTCAAGGCGACGATATTCTTTTCTACCTTTTTCTGTGGAGCCTCGCTGATGACTGTTGGAACCATTTCAATAGATCGATACCTTAGTCTGCTATTACATCTTAGATATCGTCAATTAGTAACTTTGACGCGAATTCGCACTGTCCTGGCTACTATCTGGATAACTTCTTTCCTGGCCGCAATGTTAGAGACATTACTGGCCTTAAATNGACTAATTTTTAACAAGGAATTAACAAGCACTACACTTTTTCGCAGGGTGGCATCAAGTTCTATTGAGTTTGAAGTCCAAGGTTCGTGTGTTTACTGCCAACCATTATAATATGAATCTCTGTGCGCATTACACCAGGTCTTCATTAATCATTCTTTATGATTATCCAACGTTCGGTTTATTTTACTGCCTTACGTGTGGTATATTCTCTTTAACAGCGATAATTGGAAATTCCATTGTGTTTTATGCGTTTTGGATTTCGGGCTCCCTGAATCAGGCATCAAAGATGCTCCTTCTTAGTCTCGCAGCGTCTGATCTTGGTATAGGCTTGATGGTTTTGCCACTGAACGCCGTTTTGATGTCGCAGATGTATGGACTCTTGCGTAGTAATAAAATTGTCAAAGATCAAAACGTGATGGCAACATGTCCTCTCCTCAAGGCGACGATATTCCTTTCTACCTTTTTCTGTGGAGCCTCGCTGATGACTGTTGGAACCATTTCAATAGATAGATACCTTAGTCTGCTATTACATCTTAGATATCGTCAATTAGTAACTTTGACGCGAATTCGCACTGTCCTGGCTACTATCTGGATAACTTCTTTCCTGGCCGCAATGTTAGAGACATTACTGGCCTTAAATGTTATAATTAACACCTCTGGAGTGGTGTTAGTTATTTCAGTAGCCTCCTTCGCCTACTGGAAGATTTATACTATCGCCCTTCGTCATCAGAATCAAATTTGTGTTCAAGACGCTCATCAAAATCAAATTTGTCAATTAACACAGTTCGCGCGCGCCAAAAAGATGGCAATGAAAACCTTTTCTATTTTTGTTGTGTTGGTGATCTGCAACGCTCCTTCGATTGTTACTATTCCCATGTTTCTGACTGCAGACTCCCCTTCATCTTTGTTAATTTTATTTACCCACCTGTCCATTTTTCTTATTTTTTTTAATGCTTCCTTAAATCCAGTCGTGTACTGTTGGAAAATTTCTGAGGTTCGCAAAATTTGCGAGAATATTTTGAAACTCTTACTGTTTCGAAAATTCCTTCAATCGGGTCATCGGTAGACTGACTTTAATTTCAAGCCGCTTTTCTTGTGTCGTATGATGTAACAGCGCTCTTCACAAATGTACCGTTAGATGAAAGCATTTATATCCTAGCGGATAATTAAAGCATTCAACGGCGAGTGGTTTAACTACACTTATGATATGAATATCAGCAAAGATGACTTAATCCAGCCACTAAATGTTGCAACAAAAGACTAGCTATTTCAGTTAAAAGGAAATCTTTACGAGCAGATCGATGGCGTCGCAATGGGATCGCCATTGGGCCTATAAACGCGCTTATGTGTTCCACTGCAAAGAAACTTGCGCATGAGAACAAGCTTACTAGTTTCTGTAAGAGGTACGTGGATGACAAGCTGGCCTTAACTTAGTAAGTGACCATTATGATGCCACTGTCTTCCTAGCTAGCAACACGAAACAATTCCCATCCGGATCTATGGATTCGATTCATGATGGAGGTTGGCAAAAACAATCAACCACGTTTTATTGGCGTGGAGATCATCAAAATCAATCAGCATCTTCAAACGAGCGTTTTAAGGAAAAACACGAAGGCTTCTCTTGCACCATCAGAGTCACCTCAGGACAGTAGATACAAATGATCTCTATTGAAAACAATGTTTGATCGTGAGATCGCTTGTCTTCTACGCAACATTTTTTCTTGCAAGGAAAAAAAAACGACAGCTGGAGTTGGAAAATCAGCAGAGTGGTTTGTTAAGCCAATCCAATACCCTAGTTTAACCATGATGAAACTGATTATAGCAGTCTATGCACATAGTAAAGAAGAAAAAGACTGTTTGCCAAGGAAACTCCCCCCCCAAAAAACCGGTTTGTAATAATATTAAAAGAGATTATCGACTTTAAAACAGTCCCATTTCGAAAACATTATGCCTCCAAGCTAAGCGATGGTATTAAGTTAGTTCTAGGCTTTGCCCAAGCTCTACGGATGATAGTCTGTGATAGTGGAACAAAGAAATTAGCATCAATGATATCAATCATTATTGTGCTAATTGATAACGTGAGTGACTTCAACATCCGACATCAGGGGTTTTGTTCCCTTCAGTTTTATTTTGTTGATAACGGTGCGGAGAGGATTTAATCCAAAAAAGAAAATGGCAGACAATCATGAAAGCTTTGCTGAATTTCTCTGGAAAGTTTCAGAAGCCAATCTGGAAACGAATGCACTACATGAGTTGAAAAGACAAATAAAATAATGTTCTTCAATAACCTGAGTTTGCAATATAAAGTCTAATGCCTAGAATTAATAAATTCCCTCACGTTTCGTGAAAGTCTAGCACCGCTTGAAGAGTGCGAATTGAAATTAAAAAAAAGATGGCGAATGTTCCAAAAATTTTGGTAAACTCACTTGGGCCGTCAGCAGCATATTATCGTAAGCAAAAATCACGATTTGCATAGAGTAGCTTGTGATAANAAGTTATTTTATAAAAGCAATAGAAAACTTTTTTCCTGTGTTTGCGTAGCCTGATATAAACACTTGAGGCGTTGGGAGAATTCTCGACAGTTATGCAAACCCTCGACTTCGTCTCGGGTTTGCATAACTGTCTCGAATTCTCCCAACCCCTCTCGTGTTTATATCAGGCTATGCAAACATGGAAAACGTTTTCTATTGCTTAAATACAACTGCTGTCTAAAAATAAGAAAAAACGGCTGATTTAAAAATTTAAAATAAATTCTGGCCTATTTTGTCCAGACGCCCTCTCTAACTTCGCATATGTTGATAAGATTTGCAAAAAAAATTAAAGATTGCCAGCAGAAATTAAGAATTCCTTGACTAGCAGTCTTTATGAATTTTAAAATTCGGTAATTTTGTTGAGAGCCTTGTTTGAACGAATGATTCTGTTTTCCTTTGTCCTATTATCTGTGTTAGAGTTAGGTTATGGTAATGACCAATTCAACGAAAATAGGGATTGGTCTACGTGCGGTGCCTTTATCTACAGTATTTGTTTTTTTGGACTAAGTTTTATAGACAACTGCGTATAGACTAGTTAATATTTAATCGTAAGTAAACTTTGCCGAATTTTCGAGAAGCAATGTGCGAGAAATGGAGCACCGTAGACTGATGTTTGATGAAACATTATAGCTAATTGCCTAACATGAATTTTTTGTTCAATTTCAATTTAGGTTGCCCTGCAAAATTTGAACTGAAATGTATTTGTATATATACATGTCTGATGGCCCGTCTCCTGCGGTTTTGACGGAGACGTAATCTTGCCCTTGCTCTGTCGGCGTATTCTAGGAGAGTCTCATGAAATGTATTACAACTGGTCATTAGAGGCGTTGTGTATTTATTTGAAAAATATTTTGCTTAGCAGATTTGAAAGAATTTTGTCTTCAAAAATTGCCCTTCTATTGGAAGTAAACTATTTAAGGGCTCCTGTTATTAGCTCTGTCGCTTGAAATTATATTTAATAAGGAACTTTTTCATGACGCACATATGATGAGCTGTTTGTTAAGTGACTAGCTGGATATTTATGCAAATTATTCAAAGTACTCTTCGCCCTGCGGTTTGACCGATCATCCTTTTACACTTAACATGTTTTAGAATCCACAACTCCTCTTTAACTCAAGTGGATAAAAGTTTACACCAAAGAAAAGGTAGGTAACGAGAAGTTCATTTGCACTGAAGTTAGAAATATTTGCAGGTGTCTTTTAAGCAGTTATAAATTCACGGGCTTCGTCTATCAACCGGCGATATTAAATGCAGGACAAAATTCATTCCTGTCGAGTAGGTTACCGGCTAAGGTTGGCGAAATCACGCATTTTTACACAAGAGATTCATGTAAAATAAAACCAGCAAAACCATATTCTCTATTTACCTTACAGAGGCAAATCCATTTTTATTATACAAGAAACTCTCAGGAATTTCGTCGCGTCTCTTTTGGACTACCATCAAACAATTTTGCGTCGTTTGTGAAAGAACTAATTTTAAACATTCTCCGCACCGAGATCGCCAACTCATCTTCTCCAGTTTCCGTTAAAAAACAATTTAGGCGTTTATTATAGTATTCTTAGATAAATATATGGAAGTCATGATTATTGACGCAACTTGCGGAAACCTGATTTGTTCAGTGCGCGACAGGTTTGAACGAAGTGGTAAAAAACGCGCAATTCCCTTTTCAAAAACAAGAAGCACGTTTTTGGCGATCCCGCACCTATTTGAAAGATTGTTTTTTATTCACGTTTTTGTCGTCCGTTTGACAGTGGCTCAAGATCTAACTTCCGCACAGGTCGTCTAAACATCAATTACTGTCCCGCTCACTCCTACACTACTTCCCTAACACAAAACAAAACAATAAGCTCAAACTGAAAAAAAGAAAGAACAAAATAGAAACTCCAATCGAGCACGCCTCCCGGATATCGAACACCAAAGGACCAATTTATTTCCAGTTCCTTAAGCTTAATTATTCAAATTTTCCAGGTGTATATGTACAACAGGAAATAGTGGAAGAACTTCCCCTGTTTACAAGTTGTTAGAGAACAATATTTCGTATTACCAGTGTTTATAACCTTAATTTGCGATTTTGTGTTCGTAGGAAATCAATGACAATAGCCCTTATGCATGTCAACGTCAGACTGGCAAAGTTGATGATCAAGCGCAATTTCGAAACTCTAAATCTGCCAAGTTTCACTAAAGATGAATTTCTATGACAGTTAATCAGGTGGTTAATTGTTTTGAAAACCTCACATGCTCTAACTGAGTGCAAACGCGAAGAATTTTGTTCACCATCGAGGCTTGTGGAAACATTTTCTTGGTTGACGTAAACAGGCAGAAGGACAATTAGGCAGTAATTGTTATTGGACGGAGAAAAACAATTATTAAAGCAATTTTAATCGCTGAAAATTCACACAGTAAGCCTCACTCTAATTGCAAGGACTGGTGAAGTATTAATTTCTTAAGGAACTAGACGCGAATAATAGGATGGATAAGAAAGTTCTTCAGTGAACTGAATGGCAGAAACGAAAGCGTGCTAACAATAAGAAACCAGAAATCTGTGGGCTTCAAAATTGCTCAAGGTAAAGGATTTTCAGCGCAACGAAACACTACTAAGGTCAACGAAAATCAAGGAAAACTTTAAGGGACAATGTCGCGGGAAATTGAAGAACTAACCTACAACGTAGCTAAACTCAATGTAAATCGGTACAAGAAAGCCAATACTGCCGGGAGATAAGGAGTCCCAATATCTGCGGCATCGAGCAGCGAGCCGCCGAGGTAAAATATCCCGAGGTGATTATTTTTAGTTTCGGTCAAATGAGATATAATAGATGCATGACTACAGCTTCCATTAACATACAGTTCCATTTAACGTATCGAGGACCTGAGTTTGTGCTTATAAAATCAAGCCTTAAGTAAATAAGATAAGTATATAAGATGGTAATATCATTATGTTTTAATAATTGTACCGCGACAAACTCATAAGGGGTTGACATATCAGATATAACAGATTTATGTTCTTAGGAAGGTTGTGATATGTATATTGGACTCTGGAGTGATTTAATCTTCAGCAACACTTTGAGCTGAAAAGTGTATTTTTACGATATTTACGGACTGATTCTTATGAATTTTTATCGCTTACTCTTTAATTAATTTTGCCAGTTGCATGAAATCCTTTATTATCAAAATTGAGTGGAGGTTCATAGAAAGCTTTAATAAGTAATTAATAAGTAATTGCATTTATTTCACAGGGTGACTTCAGACCAACTCAAATTGAAGCCTGAAAGTTAATGCTTATAGCCAGCACTTCCTAAATGAATGAGTGCCTACATTTTACGAAGTCTTCATTAATCATGCTCTGTGAGCATCCGGGCTTCGGCTTATTTTACGGTGTTGCCTGTATAACATTATCGCTTACAGCGATTATTGGAAATTCGATCGTCTTTTATGCGTTTTGGATTTCGAAGTCACTGAACCATACATCACAGATGTCAAGAATGCTTCTTCTCAGCCTCGCCGCTTCTGATCTCGGCGTGGGCTTGTTTGTTTTACCCCTTAATGCGGCCTTGATGTTGCAAATGCTGGGACTCGTGAGCAGTAATGAAAGTTTACACGACCAAGATATGACGAAAACATGTCCTCTCCTCAAGGCGGTGATATTCGTTTCCATTTTCTTCAGTGGAGCTTTGCTTTTAACAATTGGAGCCATTGCAATAGACAAATACCTTTCGCTGTACCTGCATTTAAAATACACTCAATTAGTGACTTCAGCGCGAATTCGTATTGCAGTGTCTGCTGTCTGGACGATATCATTCTTACTGGCCACACTAGAGACATTACTGGGTTATAATGTTATAATCAACACCTCCGGAATGGTTTTGGTTATTTTTATTGCCTCGATCGCTTATTGGAAAATTTATACCATTGCTCTTCATCATCAGAATCAAATTTGTGTTCAGGACGGTCAACAGAATCAAATTTGTCGATTAACTCATTTTTCGCGCGCCAAGAGGATGGCAATGAAAACGTCTTCTATTTTTTTCGTGTTGGTAATCTGTGATGCACCTTCGATAGTGATATGCCCTATTTTTGAATATTCAAAGACTCCTTCCACCTTGTTAACGTTGTTTTTTTATGTGGCATCGTTTCTTTTTATTTCTAATACCTGTTTAAATCCACTCGTGATTTGCTGGAAAATTCGGGAGGTCCGCGAAATTTTTGCAAATGTTTTCAAACACGTGTTTTCAAAATGTATTCCTTCAGGAAATCAATGAGAGACTGATTTTAGATTCAAACAGCTGTCAATTTTCGCTTGTAGCTATAATCAAACTGCATTTTTAGAAAATTTTCAAGTTCGTTTGCGAAATAGACGAAGAATTGATAAAATTGGTGGTGCATAGCTCTTCCCGCCACATGCCTAGCGGACTACAAGAAATGGCAGCAATGCTTAATGCGTGGTTTAAGATGTGAACTTTTGTGAGTTAATTCCGTTGTCTGATTAAAAATTAAAGTAAAATCTCATTTGTGTTTGTCGTAGATGCCGCGAAAGAGTTGCAACAAAGGTCGATGGGGGTGGGAGGAGGGGGTATAAGGAAGCAATACTTTTGAAAATCCCCGTTATTTGTTCATATTAGTTAAAAATTAAAGTTTACCGTTGGTTCAGAGGTATGGACCTCGTCATTAGCTGTAAACTGAAGTTGTTTCATACTACGTCCAAGTTTCAATCCAAGGTCAAGATTACACGTTACTGATCACCCCAATCTATCGAACAGGAAGCCATGGATTACCTTTTTGAAAATTGAGATGAAGCTTGTATAGCTTGTATTAAAACCAGGCTGATTCTAACTTAAAATCTTACGAAATTCAGGCCACCAGAGGATAAAAAAAAAAGATTTCAATGTAGCCCTTGCGCAAGGATGGTCTAGAAAAGGTTAGCGGAAAATTTCTTTCCCGAGAGACGGCCTCCGGGCCTGTTTCCTCCTAGATGAGATTCTAAAGCTTTGTAAACAAAACTGATATTGAAATGAGTAGGGAACTTTTCATTAAATCGCGATAAAAAGTCTTTCGTTTTCCTAGTTGTAAGCATTTGTCGGTAGAACGCGCTTTATGCGGTCAGTAGCCGAACAGGCATGCACACTCGTGAAAATCACCGCCATGTGTTTATTTGAACCAGAGAATGGTCTGCATACCACATACTTAAATGATCTTCGTGTACTATGCGTTATTTTGGTATCAGTTGTCTAGTTTTGAAAGAAAGACAAACATAAGCGATAATGGCAACTTTCATTTTATCAACTGAGGGCTATCGGAGGAATACTAGCCACGTTTTCACCGGCAAAAGGAAAATGCTTGATTCTCGCCTCCTATGAATTAAACATAACTATGTTAAAAATAGAATTTTAAAAAGTCAAAAAGGCTACTGCAAAGACCGATCAAACAACGTGAAAAAGGCTGACGTAAACAATATTTCGACTGGCCAATACCAGTCTTCAGGTTTATTAGGAAAAACCACGAATATACAGAATATATGCTACTGTAAAATAGTAAAAGGAAGTTACATGTTATGACGTGGTAATTTGTGGCTGCTAAGAAAAATAAACCGAAAAAATTATAAAGATTATCAATGATTATTGTTCGTCACGTTTGTTGATTTCCAGGGGCTCGATGGTTTTGGCTCAAGAGACTATAAAGGGGACAGAGAGGCCATCCCCCATATACACCCTATTCCATAGGTAATTCGTCTCGAGTTACTTTTTAACACCACAGATCTCAAGGGGGATTAGACAACAGCCAATCACATAGTGCGAATGTGTTCCGCGTGGATGACCCACGCTGAGAGCCACGCGTCCTTCACGAAATGACGCAGAACAAAATGGGGGAAGACGCGGAGAGCGATTTTGCTATTCCTTTTGTCGACGAAAACGACTACAGCGAGATTTCTGCGAAAGCTGTGTCAGCGAAACCGAAATTAAAAAAGAATCGCCCTTCCTCTCTTGTATAGAGCTAACAGTAGAGCAGGGAAATCCTTAACACACTGAATATTCTCTCAGGATCATTTATAATTTACAGTTTGAAGAGAGCAATTTCTGGTTTGATGTTTATTTTTTTCAGTCTTTATAGCGATTATTCCTACCCACTTACTTTGTCAATTGTAGGCGAACCCTCCTAAAGCTGAATTTCAAGGGACCATATTCAAGCTCAGAAAGAGAAATAAAATTTCGTCGTTGCTTATTTACGTCCTCCATAAAACGCGAAATTAGGCATTTTCACGTCGTAGTCGTGCAAAAACGGGAAAGAAATGAACAAAAAAGTGTGTTGCACGTGCGAAGTTGTTTTTTTGCTAATTAAACCTATTGTTTTTTTGATGTTCTAGTTGTCGTCCGCGTCGTTGGATCTTAAACTCCCTAAATTGTACAAACGACCGGTTTCAATAGACCGGCGAAATTTCTCATTTTATTAAAGCACTGAGGTTACGACAACTTCGAGTTAAACTGATTTCACGGGTTGTCAAAGAGTCCAGCGATTCCTTTTTCCCAGGTGAGCGCCGACTCATTTCGCTTCAATATTCAGGAATGCTCTCGATCTTTTTACGCTTTCATTGCCTCTCGCCCGACATGTTTTGCACGGCGTTTGGTCATGCGAAACCTCCACGAAACATCCACGCCTCGCGCGAGGTAACTTTATCCCGATTCTAAAAATAACTCGAGACGAATTACCTATGGAATAGGGTGTATATGGGGGATGGCCTCTCTGTCCCCTTTATAGTCTCTTGTTTTGGCTGTATGAACTGATGAGGTACGCCTCCCGCGAATTCCTAAGACAATCGCGTGTTGTGTAAGTCTAAATGACGTACCCTTACTAGAAATAAAATGCAGCAAAAGAACATATTGTTGATAAATTTTCAGTTTTCTAAATAAAATTCTGGAATGAACGTTGAGTCAAAAAGTCCCTCGAGGCCAACGGGTAACCGCGAGGGACGACGGAATTCAACCACGCTTAGTGAGCGGCGCAAAAGAAAAGTAAGACAATGCTGTTATCCCTTCTAGCTGTTGCCCCTGGAGAGCCCGAGAATGGTGTCTTTAAGGTATTCTGAGGAGTTCTACTGGGGGGGGCTTCCCGGGAATTTTTCGATGGGGTACATGTAAGATGACGACTCAACTGCAGTTTAGTTCATTTTGTCGGCAGGTTTTGCCAAACACATGTATCTTATTCACTGGCTGGGAGGTCCGTATTGGGAGAAACTGTGCCCGAGGTCTTGAGTACCGTCCGAGGCCGTAGGCCGAGGGCGGTACTCAGACCGGGGGCACAGTTTCTCCCAATACGAACCGACCTAGGCGGGTGAATAACATTTTTGTTTTTTTCCTACTGATATTTAAAAGTTTCAGAGAGAGACAAGGTCTGGGACCGAGAACTGATGATGTTCTCCAACTTCTCCAACTTGCAAAAAGTGTCAAATTTGTCCGAATTATGTCTATTCAAGAGAACTTTATAGCTTATATACCTGAATAAACAGATTCACTCTTCAAAAGATTGATAACATTTCACTTCGTTTATTACGATCAGTCAACACCTTAAATCCAAAGTTAAAATTCAAACAACCGTAACTGATTAATAAACAAGCCACAACTATTGCTGAAAGCTCTGTTCCTGGAAGTGACCTTAACTTTCCTTAGTTTTGCACCAAAACACTAACTGTTCGGCGGTTGTTTCAGCTTTTGAACACGCAGCTATATGTTGCGTATTCCAGACTCTGCGGAGAAAAATTGTTGATGTCTGAAAAGCGACATAAAATTAATAGATTTGCTAATTACTAAAATATAATAGTGGGAAACAATCCCGCCTTCGGCAGCCATATATGATTTTGTTCCTTCTCAAAAAAAAAAACCGTCGATCTTTGGTATATGATGATAATTCGCATGATCAGTAAATAAACCCGCTGGCAAACCCTTGATAATCGCTTTGTAAGTTGTGAGAACATCGTTTTGATTTCATTTACGAGAATGTATGGGAAGTAGCTTCCCCCGCTGTCTGCAACCCCCTTTTAAGTTTTTTCTGTTTATAAAGGTGGCTCGATATAGAGTTTTTCAGGGGCAATACTTCCCGAGGTTGAGCGTATTACCGATGTAGTGAAATAGCATTTCAAAAGCGCTTTGTTTTCGATAGATAACGGCAAAGATACGATTGCTCATTCTTTACTGTACTTCCAACCATAAAAATTTCATCTCAAAATATCACGAGAACGCTGCCATAGATTTTGCTCAAACTTCCCGAACTTCCTTGAATGAACAATTTTGGAAAAAAGCCTCCAAGCCTCGAGAAATACGGTTGCAAGTAAAATATCTAGTGACGTCTCTTCGTTGTTATATGTCCTCCGTTGTCAGCTTAATCGACACTAGACATAACCAACTTTTATCCTTATCAAATACAGCCGTGGTTGTCGTTTTTACATATTTTGGATAATGGCGACGTAGTTATGGCACAATCTTGGGAGGTGTTGACTTTTCCGTGAAAATTTTCAGATTATCGTTGATTGGTACTGGCATATTCACTGGTACAAAAAAATTTTTGCCGTTCTAGTAAAAGCGAGAAAAAGGCAATATCTCAAAGGCTTTTGGTTTTTGCCGGAAATTTTCCCTCTTAATGAGTCGTTTCAAATTTACTGGGTTTCTCCCAATGCACACAGTAAACGCTCCAGCTTTCCAATCTTGGTTGCCATCTATAAATTGTCCGGTCCGTCGAAACATTTTCTGGGCAAGATTTGTTTCTATACTCAATAATAATTTGTGTAAAAGTCACTTTTATTTTTCTTCTAGCACGCCGCGTTTATGCAATAGACGGGGTGCTGATGGATTTGGCCAGAGTTGGCTGTATTAACCGTGCAGCTGGCAAACCCTGACGCTATCCGTGGTCCTTTAGCCACCTACGGTTATTTACCAACTGATTCGCTAACTGCAATGCATATTGACAATATTTTGCTAATTCGTGTACACTTTGGTTAGAAGGACAAATTAATGGTAATTCAACCTTCAGTACGTGTCTCTTCTTAATGGATTCTTTTCCTAATGTCTGATAACGTGCCTTTCTCTGTCAGAGAGTGATTGTCATCACGTCAAGAGAAACGTTATTCATCTTTCTACGGGTGTTAATTTCAACTTATATCGCTGTTAATAAAGGAACTGTCCAGCTAAATAACCTGTTTCAGGCAAAAAAAAAACCCTTAAAAACTTCATAACAGCCAGCCCCTACCTTGACAATCATCTACTTTACAAACTTACTAGACGAGTGGAAAGAAGATTTGAGGCAGAAAGTGCACTTTTTTACACTGCAATGGTTTCAGTCGAATGAAGAAATGTCTTCAAAAAGTGAGCAAATCGAAGAGCGTTTGTGGAACAGCATGATATGACTTGTAAGTTGGAGAAGCAATTTATCGGAACCAAAAGATTGAAAATAATTTAGAAATTAGCGCAACAGTGCTCTCTGTAATCCTTTTTCACACATACTGATAGTGTTCTTGAAAACAAATTTTGGTTGCAAAACTAAAACTTTGAGCCTTCTTTTACAGAGTTGCCTTTTTCTACAATGACGGAACTTGGAGTCTTCTCTTCCTTGTTCATTGTTCACTGTGTTTTCAATGGCTTCCTAAGTTATACCTGCACCATGTTGAACATTGTTACAATTCACGCACTGAGAAAAACTCCATCATTGCCGATGACTTTAAAAGCATTGCTTATGAGTCTGTCTGCTTCTGATCTTGGTATCGGTTTAATAGTCCAGCCTTTATACGTCGTACGCCTTGTTATGATTATTGGAGGAGAAACTCAAACTCAAACGTATAAATTAATACAACACGTGTTTCTAACAACAGGGAATCTTTTCTTTTACGCTTCCTTCCTTGGTGTTGTGGCTTTAGCCGCAGACAGATTCTTGGCTATTCATTTTCATCTCCGATACCAAGAACTTGTAACTGAGAAGAGAGTTGCTGCTTTGATGACCTCGATTTGGATTTTTAGCAGCTTTCTGTCGTTCCTAACTTTGAGTTGGATCATACCAGAGATGGCCAAATTCATTTTCTATAATACAATCGACATATTTTGTATCATCACCACTGCATTATTTTACTGGAAAATTTATTTATCAGCAAAGCACCACATAATTGAAATTAACAGACTCCAAGTATATCACCAAGCAGAGCAGAATGGTGAAGTGATGACAAATACTGCGAGACAGCGGAAGTCTGCAGTTGGTGCATTTTACGTGTTTCTTGTGCTTTTGGCTTGTTATCTGCCAATGCTTTGCCTTAGTATTGCCCATCTGAGTACTGGGCTGCAGAACACCCTGATATTCCTTTTACTGCTTAACGCTAATACACTGGTTCTTCTCAATTCGTCTCTCAATCCTCTGATCTACAGCTGGAAAATGAGACACATTCGACGCACCATTATGAATCTCTTACGCAACGTGCCTCACTAAATCTGCTGGCGGCAAGGCATCTAACTATGTGTTGACCTTAGTTTCTTTTAGAACGATATGCTGAAGGCTCGATTTATCTGAGCCAACTTCTGGTCATTTGAAATAGAGCTGTAATTTTAAAAAGAAAATATGATTAATAGCTTAGTTTTGCATTTTGATGATAACTTCTTCCTTATCAGCAAGCGTAACCTTTCTAAGGCAGCAGCCGGTATTTTTAATAAAAAGACATTAGATTGCCTAAAGAACCGTTTCAATCTACCTCTTCGAAACGGTACTCATATTTGAGGCCATTTTGAAATTTTACAAGGATATCCAGTTTTTAAAAAAGGAAATGAAATTAGTCAGTCTAAAAAGTAGACAACCAGACCAAGGGATACAAAATAGTAAATGTGGAACTGACATTACAAAGCACAAAATATTAGGCGAAAAAGAGTTTATGGAGCCCTATGATCTAGAAAACGCAATTCTACTTTCCTAAATTTTGTTCAGTTTTCTTTGGTTTGGAGCACCTGACATTGGCTGTTTATTAATCGATTAATGGTCAGTGTAAATTTGGCAAAAAGCAGAAAACATAGACCTTGTGCCTGGCATGGGACCAAAATAACTCTTCAGTCAAACCATGTTTAGAAGATGGAATTCCATAGCATTACCTGAAACACTAATTTATCGATATGTCTCAAATGAGCTTTAACTTGTGCTTTGAATTGTTATAAATTTGTATTCGACAAAAATCAAGAGGAAATTTCTATAGAGATAACAATTTTAAGGTGGCTTGCAGCGGTTTGAACTGAGATCATGCGAGTCGTGGAGGATCGTAACTACGACACTTTTTAAATTTACATTAGTACCCATCTGAGCGATCCTAATGATAATAGTCGTAGAATAGTTGTGGTCATATTAATTTTGACATTTTAGGTTACAAAAGCAAAGGTAAGACCCAGACAAGGCTCTCTATAATGTTTTTCCAACATGGGATATCCGGAATAAAGAGAGTAATGCAATTCATTCAATTGACTGTCTTTTATGTCTCTTGTAGATTCGGGCAATCAAAAAAATACTAAAGACATCCTAATAACCCGACTGTTGCTAAGTGGCAAGATAAGTTTATAGACCCCCACATCCTCATTACTAAATTAACACAGCGGTATTTATCCTGAGACACTTTGTGGCGAGTACCCTAAGTACCAGGATATTTTTATTCGAATTCTGACTTGCGGTGGGATGCTTCGGTATCAGGCGAAGGCTGACACATCTTCTGCTAGAGGACGAAGCAACGAGCGGCAAAGCCGCGCGGTCCGCTATAAACACCTGACCGAATCCGGAAAACGTGCACGAAACTTCTCTGGAAAAGACGAGGGATAGATAATATTAAAGTAACAAGAACGCGCTTACGGCGGCATACAGCTCTCGCCTGCTTGGAGATTAGATCGAGAAATGAGGAGGCGATTAATTCTACAACAAACATGATTTACTCGCTAAAGGTTTTTTACTTCCTAGCTTATCGACGTCGATACTTTTCATTTGTTTCTGAATTGATTTAGTACACGTGTTAACCAAAAATACCTCTACGATAGCTAGCGTGTATAAATACACGAAAATTCAAGGGCCTCGATTCCAGAGAAATTACATCATTGCCAGATATCGAAAAAGTGATTTACATAGCACGCCACTTCATTCATCGCCGAAAATAAATTGCATGCTCATCACAAGACTCATTTGCATACAGGGAAAGTTTACAACACCAGACCATCGCAATTTTGCTAATTAAGATTCTTATTTTTTCCGACCACTCAGTAGTGTTCACTTGCTCCAAAGTAATCAACGCTTTCAAGCGATAGAATTCGTGGACCGGCACGTTTCGGAAAAGCTCTAAATTTAATCTTTCCTAAGCTTTCTTCGCAAAACACGCGTGGCTCCGATCACGCAACGATTCTTAGTCCCAGTTTCCACGGTGGTCGCAAGGAACGCTTGGCATAATGACCTGCCTTTTGTGTCCTAAAATTTCCAGGGGGTACTTCCAGAAAAATTGGGAGGGGGCGTTAGGCACGCTTCCTGAAACCCTTACCCTATTTCAGACCAAAATCTGTGATTTTCCCTACCCTATTTCAGACCTGATCAAAAATTTTGATACTCTATTTCAGACCTAAAGCCCTGGAGCCCGGCGCGTGACCGGAGCGCGTGACAAGTTGTTACGGCACGTACACGGTAGTTAGCGTAAACATTAAACCGGAAATGGTCTTATCGCCAAATGATGAAGAAGTAGCTAATACCTCTAAAAAACATACCCAATTCAAGACTAGAGTGCACAAACCATACCCTATTTCAGACCAAAACGGCTAAAAAAGACATACCCATACCTATATAGCCTATTTAAGGGACCACCCCCCGGGGCGAAAAACGCGTTGCAGATTATGAGTCACGCTGCTCACGCAAGCGAGACTAATAAAACCCATGATTAAATCCGCCTGTGGACATAAGGTGTTGGGGGAAGAGTTTGGAAAGAGCAAGCAACCTGGTTCTGCTGTGATTGACACAAGGGTTAAATGTAAAAGAGGCCTCTGTGATTACAGAAGAGCGTAACCTTCATATAGCCGCGAATAGACGGTTTTCACAGTGACGTCATCAAATTGTAAAGTCAAAATAGCGAGGTTTTACGAATTCTTATTTACACTAGGTTGAAGATAAACAAAAAGTTAATCTTTGTAGAAGTTTTCAGTCCCATAGCATGTTTCATTTCGAAAATACAGCAATTTGATTTTCCGAGTTTTCAGAGTGCGTGACACCAAAATAGGAATGCTGTCTCGTTGGAAAAAAGTCTCTCCTCTTGATTTTCAGCAGTATAACCATTTCAAGTATTAGAAGATATGTTTATGCGCACGTAGGCTAGTTCTCGAGTGAAAAGAAGGAGCTTTTATAGAACAAGTGAACTCCAGATGTTTTTGATGATTTTCGGTGGCCATATTGGTGCACCAAAACTGTGCACCAATATGGCGTCTCCATACAAAGCTCTACAAAGATGCGTGAAACGTTTCGGCAAATAACTCAGAAACTGTGGGCCAAAAAGACCTGAGACTTGGAAAAATTGTTTAAAAATTAGTCTTTTATAACATATCATTTTCTTGGCTTCTTTCACTTGACGGTTTTCAATTTATTTTTTTGTTGCGTGACAGTGAAAACGATCTATTGCCTAAGAAACGTTACTACTTTGAATGAAGCCGTTGCAACATTAACGATAGGAATAAGCTGTTCGGGCTTAACACTTTTATTAACCCCGATTCCATTCCTTTTTAATCTTGTTCAATTTTCTCCGTTCGTTCGTTCGTTTAAATTGGCGGTAGCAGTTGTATTTAATTTTTGCTCAATTTTGTGGCCATTCCCACCGTCTGATATTAGTCTACTTTCCACGGTGTCATAGCTCCCATAGGAGAGACGTTCCCTAAATTCTTTGGAGTAAAATCAGGTTAATATGAATTGTTTTTATCTAAAGCGTTATGGGCTAAAGGCTAAAGGTTTCTTAACACAATCTCTCACTTTTTTTGCCGTAAAGAAGCAAGCCAAAATGGAATCTTCCGAAAACTCCGTAGGAATTTTGTAGTTCGGGATTTTTTTTAAGGATATCGGAAAAAAAAATCGCATGTTGATCTATTGGATTTCATGCCTCTCTTACAAATCTTGGTTGGTCTGCATCAATGTATAGCTAAAAAATGTCTTTGTTACGCAGGTACATTTTTGCATGCATGAAATTGGTGATTTTCAGTTTCTTAGTTAGAAAAAGTTATCATAATTCGTAAACTTGCTAGGTGCACTTTTCCTTTTCTTAGCGAAGCTCTCGCGCGCGAAGACCATGGGTAAGAAAATGAAGTAATCTATACATCCGAGAAAATTTGGTAATCACGTGACCGTACGCCCGCCCGACCGTCCGTCCGCACCAGACGCATACCAATGTAAAAAAACTCAATCAACAGGTATGGCCACCCAAATGCAACTCGAGGTTATTTTGGCGGGAAATCGAATAGCCACTGGCGTCTTGTAAAGCGGAGACAACTAAAGAATCAATAAAGACGAAACGGAAAGCAGAAATTGTTTTTGTATCGGTTTTGCTTAGATTAGTTGTCATGTCCACAAATTTGGAATATAGAACAAGATAAAGACAGATAAAAAGAGAAAGTAGGCGGCAGGCCAGCGAAGCCCAACGAGAAAAAAGGCGACAGAGATCTAGAGCGAGAGACAAAAAACAAAAGAGACATTTTTTGCTGGAAGAACAACGTGAAAATTTTGTAGCGGTGGTGACAAAATGAGAAATGCTAGCGGCACCAGTGCACGGTGAAAATGAGCGGCAGTGAAAAAAAAGTGATCGAGAGCACGTAAGACATTTCCTCCATAAAACGTGTAACTAAGAAGTTTCTGGAAGTTTCACTTTGTAGTCGTTCAAAACAACAGCAAAGAAACGTACAAAAAAGTGTGCTGCACGTGCAAAGTTGCTTTTTTGCAATTAGACCTATTGTTGTTGTTTTTGTTGTTTTTTATTATATTATGCTTTATTACAGCGCAGAAACGTATACATATTACTGAAAAAAGAAGAAGAAGAAGAAGAAGAAGGAGAAGAAGAAGAAGAAAAAAAGAAATACAGTCCTGTATAATTACATGATTCCATATACAACAACGGATAAAACTGACCGTTACATGGAATATCTGAGGTTTAGTATTACGCTTGAATTCGCGTAGCTTCTTAGTAATACATAGTTCTGTTTTGTCAATAAAAGAAAAAGAGGAAAGGGTGGATGGTTTAACTTTACAGGACACGTATGGCTAACAAAGTTATTAGCTAGAGGGTAACAGGTGCAAGCCAACAAATTTAAATAAGGAAAAGTTTTCATTTGTTTGAAAAGGCGGTAAAAGAATTACAACGAAGTGCTTCCTGTCTTTCTATCTCAATGAAGGAATTTAGCTTACCCTTAAATAGGACATCCAAGGAGACGCTTCAGCTAATTTGCTTGAGA